GATGGAATCAAGGCTTTCCAGAATAGGGGGGTAACTTGTATAAACTTGGCAGCTTTATCTCCAACAATGTCCCCACAGGAACTCATGCTTATAGAGCCAAACACTTACTACATCTCCTAGGCATGACTTGCCGTTCATGCAACCATGCTGAATTTCTGCAGCCAATTTGTGCCATTCTTTAAGTGCTAGCTCTCTTTTCTTAAGCAAACTGCCTGCACTGGCCACTGGGATTACTGCCTTTTATATCTTTATCTTTAAAAATAAATACTACACCCATGTTTATCACAGCTTTGTTTACAATAGCAAAGAGTTGGAAGCAACCTAAGGGCCCATCAACAAATGAATGGATAGAGAAGCTGTGGTATATCCACACAATGGAATACTACACTGCGTTGGAAAACAAAGAACTCATGCAATGGGTGAGCCTGGAGGACATTATACTGAGTGAAATATCTCAGTCACAAAGGGACAAATACTTCATGGTGCCACTGTTGTAGAATGGGTCCAACATCAGGGTTGGGGTATGACAGAAAAAACTGGATAAATTATGTATATTATATTGAAACAGATGAGGGAAAGAACAGATTAGAGGTGATATATGATTATTATGGTTAGTACTGGAACCCAGAATTAAGGTTGCATAGAGAAGTGTACTGGGGTGGGGGGTGGGGGGTAAGGAATGGGGGAATTGTATACTAATGAAGGAATCTTTTTTTTTCTTTTTCTTTTCAGAGAGGGGAGCGAATTGGTGGGCAGGGGTGGGCAGGGAGAAAAGTGTGGTAATGAATGAATGGAAATCCAAAACCTCTGTAACTGTCTATTAAACTTAATAAAATAAAAAAATTTAAAAAAATACTGTACTGCCTCCATCAAATGGTAAGTAAAGACTACTTGAACTTGAACTTCTAGTCTCACAGCACCTCACTGAACAGGCACTCCTTAAACATTCAGTAACTGAGCGTAGGAATACGAAGACTTCAGAGAAAGCTGAAGTTCCCAGGAAGGGGCTCCTGGGAAGGAGAATCTTGAGCATTTAGCAGAGCAGAAGGGGGCAGGGCATTCCAGGCAAGAAAGGCATGCTGCTGTACAAGAGTGTCAAGTGACCAGAGCAGGGGAGAGTTCTCTGGAAGCCACACGAAGGTGGCGGGGTGTGCCCAGGGCCAGGGGACAGAGTGCAGCAAGGAGAACAGGTCTGGCAGCACTAGGAATGACTGATGAGACAGTTCTAGAAAAGTTCTTAAGGGAGAAGAACGTAGAACTGACTGGCAAATGGGGAGGTGAGACGGGAGACACTGGGCCTGACAGAGGCTTCTGCCATCCTTTGGATAAAGGGGGCACATGGCCAGTGATGGTGGTGATGGTTTGTCCGACTGGTACAGTACACACCATTGTTGTTGTTGTTGTGCACCAAATCACAACTGACTCATAGCTGATCCTCCAGTGGGTTTTCAGATAGTAAATCACCCAGGAGGAGACTGCCCATCCTTCTCCCGCACAGTGGATGCTGGATTCGAACTGCATGCCTTTGGAATTGCAGTGCAGTTTCTTACTACTAGGCCATCTAAGCTCCCTCAGGCACACCGTTATGTGCCAAGAACTGTGAAGAGGTTAAAGGCAGAAAGAATGTTAACACTGCCCCCAAATGTTCTTCTCTAGAAAACGGTCAATGGTCAGCTGATCTCATCTGTGCAGACACCATCTTATACGTCATTCACATCATCGACTCTCCTCAAATACCTGCCCACCCTCTCCCACTTTAAAATATAGTTCAAGTCCCAAGTTTAATGCCCAGAAATAATCCTTAAATCTTGAACTGAAATCATTCCAGAAAGCCATTGCTAAATTGAACTGCCATTTAGCCCAATTAAAACAGCTTGGCTCAAGCACGGTTGAGTCTTCTTATAAAGAACTTCCTATCTGAACTCAATCTGACAGTAGTTAATCTAAAGCACAGAAGAACCTGAAAGGGCAAAGCGGTAGCATTACCAATGATGAAATGGCATGGCAGACAGGGAGAACGGGGACACTACGTGAAGAATGTAACCAATGTTATGGAACTGTCTGCCTGGAAACTGTGAGAATTTGGTTTACCATCAGTAAAACATTAAACATACATGAACTCTCAACAAACCCTGCCTACTAAACAGGCTCACTGCCTTCAAACTGATTCCGACTCAGAGCGATGGTACAGGTCAGAGAACGGTCTCACAGGGTTCCAGGGTTGTATGTAATATTTGTGGAGGCAGAATTCAGAATCTTTCCCCCCTGGAGTGCTGGGAGGGAGAAGATTCACCTTTCTGTCAGCATTAGGGGCCTTAACTGCTGTACCACACTCACTGTTGTTATGTGCCGTCACACAGAATATGCCTCATAGCTACCTGTGAACAAAAGATCTGAACCCTGTTCTATCCTGTGCCATCCTCACACTTCCTGACACACAAGAGCCCCACTGCAGCAGTCACCGCATTAATACACTTGGTCAAGGGTTGTCCTTTCCTTCACCCACAAACCACCCTTCCCGGCATCATGTCCTTCTCCAAGGAACAGCCCCTCCTAGCAACATGTCCAAAGTATGTGAGGTAAAGCCTCATCATTCTTCCCACCCCCACCACTGGCCCCCAAGTCTCATCATTCTTGCCTCCAAAGAGCACTTTGGCCGCACCCTCTTAAGATATATTTGTTCTTCTGGCCGTCCATGGGATGTTCAGCGCTCTTCTCCAACACGATAGCTCAAAGGCATCAATTCTTCTTCTGCCATCATTATTCACTGTCCAGCTCTCAGATGCACAGCAAGTGATCGGAAAGACTATGGCCTGAATCAGATGCATCTTAGTCCTCAAACAGACATCATTGCTCTTCAATAATTTGGAGAGGTCCCTAACTGCAGATTTTCCCAGTGCAATACGTCTCCTTATTTCCTGACTGCTGGTACTAAGGGTGTTAACTGAGGATCCAAGCAAGATGAAGTTGTTGACAATTTCAATCTCTTTTCCACCCATCATGATGTTGCCTGTTAGTAACATGAATGATTAAGCTCATTAGACTATTTAAAATGACTCCACTATTGTCTGTCTATGCTGTTGTTATTAGGTACCATTGAGCTATGACTCACAGTGACCCTATGAACTCTGAACCCTGCCCTATCCTGAGCCAGCCTCACCATCTCTGACACACCTGATCCCATTACCACAGTCACTGTGTCACTGCATCTCATCAGGGTCTTCCTCTCCTACACTGACCCTCTCCCCTTCCATGTCCTTCTCCAAGGACTGGTCTCTCCTGGCACATGTCCAGGGCATATGAATACACTGCTTATTGTTGTTATCGAGTTGGAACCGACCCACAGCTGACCCTCCAGTGGGTTTTCAGAGGCTCAAATCATATGGGAAGAGAGTGCCCATCCTTTTCCTTCAGAACAACTGGTGGATTCAAACTGGGTACCTTTGGGACCTTAGCTCAGATTCTTACCACTAGGCCACCAGATTCCTCCACATATAGCTTGCATATTAACCATGTATATTGCCTGCAACTATAAATTTGACAAACATAACATCTTGTCTCTTCTAGGAAGCTCTTGATGTCCTACCCTCTAAACCTGGGCTCATGGTTATGAGGAAGTCTTTCCCTTAGGAAGGGCCAAGCCATCGGAGGGAGTGGCCATCATCCAAGAGTCTGGCCCACCTACCACTGGAGATCCATGCAGACACTAGACCTCGGCATCTGGCCCGTTGTACTTCTGTCCCTGGGGAAACAACCCTCGGGGAATGTGGCCTATTGGAAAGTGCATTTATTAAGGCTCCTGCAAGGTCTTACCCACTAAGGTTAACTCAGTTCATTCATAGCAAAATCCGACAGCATCAGACAGACAGAACTCATCAGCGATGCTCAGGGGTGGGGTGGGGTCAGGAGGAGGGCACAGATGTCACCACGCTTGTCAGCCCCGGCACACAGTGGTTCAGAGACCAGCTGTAACCGAAAGGTGCGAATCGAACTGCTTTAGGGGCGAAAGAGGAGGCACGCTGCTTCTATCCATTCAGCCAGCTTGGGAAACCCCACTTAGTCCTACTGTCCTTCTATAGGGTCGCCGTGAATCAGAACCGACTCAGGGCAGTGGGTTGCTTTGGGCACCGGAGCAAAAGAGGTTTTTTGTTCTCCAAGCGATTGAGACTCATGCTAAGAACTGTCACCGCTCTCCGTGGACAATTTTCCTCGAACACACGGTCACAATCCCGAGTCTGCCGGGAGGGTCAGTACGGTCAGCACCGCCCAGGATCGCCCCACATCCAGGGCTCCGCCTGCCCCCGGGGACCGAGGTGCAGACGCCCCGGAGTCGGGGCGGGCGCAGCCCCACCGCCTTCCCCAGAGCTCCGGCGCGCGTCAGTCCGCAGGACGAGGCTGCAGCGTGCCGCGAGCTTGCAAACACCCGCGGGCACCCCAACTCCGGCTGTCACGCGCGTGGACGGAGGTCGCGCCGCTGCAAAGGGAGCAGGCACGGGCGGGGAAGGGGCGTGAACGGGGAACGCTCGCGACAGGCGCGCGCCCCGTCATGGGGGGCGGCCCTACGGCGCCGCTTGAAGCCCGGGGAGGGGGCGCGAGGCCGGGCGGCTCGGGGCCGGGCAGAGGAGGCCGCGGCTACTCACTCAGCCAGGATTCCAGGCTCTCCCCTTCCGCCTCCGCCATATTGCAGCCGCCCGGGCCGCCCCGCGGCCTCCAGCCTCGCGAGAACCTGCGAGAGCCGTGAGGGGGCGTGGCCTGCAGGGGGCCTGCGGGGAGCGGGCGCAGGCGCAGGCCCCGGGGGCGGTGCCGGACTCGAGGCGTCTCGAGAGGGCCAGGGTTTCCTTTCAGTTCTTCGCCGGGACTCTCGCCACGCTAGAGGCTAGCGCCCGGGTTAACTGGGTGAACTAGCGATTCAGGACTCTGCGGTGTTGTCTTCCGGTCTCCCGTCACTTGCTCGTCACTCGCTCAGGCGCGCCGAGGACAGTCTCCCCAGGCCAGCCAAGATGGCTGCCCCCTCGGTGAACGCTGTGCGAGGATGGTCTGGCCTGGTTCTGGGTTTACGGGCTCTCGTGCCCCGGCTTCCTGGGTGAGCAGGCAATCGACAGCTGGGGGCCCCCCCTGGAGTCCACGCAGAGGGAGCTCCGGGGAAGTAACGGGGCTCCAGGCCGGACGCACGGGCTCCCAGGGACAGCGGGGCTCCGCGGGGTCGGGGCATGCGGGTTCAAAGCTCTAACTTAGTTAACTTGACCTTGGGCCAGTTGCAAAGTCTCAGCGCATACGTCGGCTCGAGACATCAAACTGACCTACGGATCTGATTCTGAGCTGAAAGTCAGTCGCTGCAAGAGTGCGAAAGTGCCATCACTGTGTTAGCGGATGGGGAAGAGTGCTGTCAAGAGGAGCCTGTCCTACCCGGGCTCCCTGATAACCAGACTACTGGCCTGTTTGGGGGGGCCCTACGCCCTCTTGGGACGAGAGGCACAAAGAGAACGTTTCAGATTTAACAAGCGGTGGCCGCGGCGCCCCGCTTGGCAGACATACCTATTGTTAAGTCAGGCTGATTCACCTGCCCGGGCCCCTTGTCTCCCCTAGGCTGACCCAGGTGAGGTGGAGCCGCTATGGCCCCGAGTATCAGGATGCCCAGACTGCCAAGGAATATCACCGCAAGCCCGTGGCCGAGTTGACAGAGCAGGAAAAATATGAACGGCAACTCAGGAAGACTCAGGTCATCAAAGCCGCCCCCGCGACCAAAACCTGCTCCGTGTTTGAGGACCCGCTGGTCAGGTGAGATGGGAACAAGCACTTTGGTCCTGTCCCAGGGAGGGTCTGCGGCGAGGGTTATGAGACAAGTCTTGTAAAGCTAAACATGTTGTCTTTCTCCTTGAAGTAAATTTATCAACATGATGATGAAAGGAGGAAACAAGGTGCTGGCCAGGCAACTCATGGTGCAGGTAAGCAGGCCTGTCCTGTGCCTCATCCACGTGTTTCCTGCAGTTCTGTACTGGGTTCTTTCGATGCAGCTTGAAAGCGTAGATTTAAATGTTTTCTCTGCTTTGCCCGTGTATGTATGTAAACGTGTGCGGGTGTGTGTGGTGAGGGCTTTAATGCAGTCTTGGGGAGTCAACAAACTCTGTCCACTTGTCCAGTAAAGAGGGAGGCACCTAGGAAGACTGTCTTGGGAAGGAGCTGTGCTGCCAGAGAAGGTGGGATGATGGGAGCAGAGAAGGGCACTCGCTGTCCCCTTTATGGAATCTGGGCAACCTTTCACTGTCTCCCATTCCAGACCCTGGAAGCGGTGAAAAGGAAGCAGTTTGAGAAATACCATGCTGCTTCTGCAGAGGAAAAGGCATCCATCGAGCGCAACCCCTACACCATCTTCCACAAGGCCCTGAAAAACTGTGAGCCTGTGATCGGGCTGATGCCCATCCTCAAGGGCGGCCACTTCTACCAGGTGAGTAGAAGTGAACAGTCAAGGCCAGAAGGGAGGGCTGCTTGTGCCCATGTGTGAAACAAGATCAGGGGATCCTTCTGGGTGTGAGGGCCCCAGAGGAGGACCAGGATGGAAAGCTCTCCCTAGACCATCAGGATCCAGACTCTGAAACTCCTAGGCAGGAATGGGAAGAGGGCAAAGAAGTATCTAAATGGCCTGTTCAAAAGAGTGCAAGCCCACTTTCCATCTCTGTCCACCATCCTGTGGCCTTGCCTGTGAACTTCTCAAAGGGAGAGACTGTTTGTCCCCGTCTTTGCACAGGCGTCTAGTATAGCACTTGATCCACAGCTGATTGGGGCACCTTTTGTGGTATTTCATTCCATTGCCCTATTATTTTGTTAGTGGGTTTAAATTGTACGTTACTGAGGGTAGGGACTTCATTAGTCCTTGTCTGCCCAGCATCGGGCATGGTATCCAGCACCAGCTGGGGCCCGGCAAACAGTCTGGGATAGAGTATCCTGTTTTTAGGTTTCCATGTTCTCAGGTAAACAGAATCACCTCACCTAGAGGAGCTTTTCCCCATTAATGCTTATGTTGATAGGAATTTTCCATTTAGAAGAAAAAAAGAATTGTGCTTAATGAGTGTTTGCTGGATGAATGCCTCTTAAGTTGGCCACACTGAGGTCACCCAGAACTGGGGTTGGGGTGTTTAATAGAAAAAGATTGCCCCCCCCCAAGGTGGGGGGGTTCCCTCTGATCCAGAGGAAACCTGCAGACGCTCCTTGGAGCTCAGAAGGGCAGGAGACCCCAGTCCTGGGATCAGCTTGTCCTGTCTTGCCAGGTCCCCGTGCCCCTGGCTGAGAATCGGCGCCGCTTCCTGGCAATGAAGTGGATGATTACTGAGTGCCGGGAGAAGAAGCACCGGCGGACACTGATGCCGGAGAAGTTGTCTCATGAGCTACTGCAGGCTTTCCACAGCCAGGGCCCGGTGATCAAGAGGAAACACGACATGCACAAGATGGCCGAGGCCAACCGGGCGCTGGCCCACTACCGCTGGTGGTAGAGAGAGGGCTTGCTGAAAACTGTGGATTAAGGATGTAGCTCTGTAAGCGCAGGCTCACAGGGATCGGGGCGCATACTGAGCAGTAATCACTTCTTTGGGAGCTTGGACTTGCTCCCCTGAGCTCATGTCCTTGCACAGGGGAAGCATATTAACTTGGACATTTCTCCCAAGAAAAGTCAAGTTCATTCAAAGCCTCTTCTCTCAGCCTGGAGTGGAGTCCTTCCGCCGATAGGAAAGGAAGCAGTCTTAGTATCAGAAAAGGTTTATTAGAAAACTTTCACCCTGAACTAGTGTAACCTGTGGCACAATCCAGCCGTTCAGTGACACGAGCTGAAGAGAACAAAGGACTGGTTTCCGTGACCCTTATATAAAAAGCCTGACTTGTGCTCTGGCCTCTGTTTCTAACACCCCCAAGCATTCCACAGGTGGTTATGGATGCCTCTTTTAACGACGGGGAAACCGAGACACCAAGGTTATATAGTGCAGTGGCCGTTAGGAGCTCCACTGGCCTAGGTGGGAGAGAGGATGTTGAGGCTGTGGCAGGAAGACTTAGGCTCCAGGACATTGGATCAACTTGACGCCTGAGGAGGGGAGGGAAGGTGCTGGAGACGTTGAGAGAGTGTAGAAGGGAGAGCCATCGGGAGGCAGAGACTCCATCACCAAGTCGGGAGGTGGGTGGAAGGCCGGCTGGCTCAGCTGGTGAAGAGTCCTGGGCTGGAGGCCTAGTCCGCGACCTCACTATAGTAATAGTTCTGGGCTGCAGGAGTGGTCTTCCAGCCAGCTGCCCGGAACTCTATGATCTCCAGCAGTAGCAGCTGGGCCAGGGAGCTGAGGCCAGTCGGAAGCAGGAAGCCATCCCGGATCAGGACAAAGAGCTCATCCATGCGCTGCCCGTTCATCTTCTCCAGCTGCTCCCCAACCCTGTGCAGCTGCAGCACCAAGCAGTCCACCTGCAGAGCAGCGGCAGGTGACACCCAGGCCGGGTCCTGGGTTCCACAGGGGGCAGCTGAGGACAGCACTTGGCCAGGCACTGTGCTGAGCCCGTCCTACCCTCTGACTTCATCCTTACGCTGCGTCTCACATGAGGGACTTCTGAAGGACTCAGCTTTGTTATCGCCTCGGTTTAACTCTCCCACTACCTGGCCTGGGCTTGGTTTCTCTACTAGTTGCCTCCAGCTGGCTGTGGCTCTCACTGGTCAACTATCCTGGGAAGAACTGGCACTGTGACAGACCTGAAATGTTCTCACCAAGTCCCTGACCCGGAAGTGGTGCCTCAGAAGCTTCCAAGGCCACAGAAGCTCTGAGCTGGCAGTGCCCACCTCCACGGCCTCACCTACACCAAACACCTACCTCCTCCTCCTTGCTTAAACTGTCAGGCTGGGCCAGGCGGAAGAGGCAGTCATAGACGGGGTTCACCAGGGCCATCATGGGCATGTTGTTCACCTGTGGGAAGGAAGGCCGGAGCTCTGGGTTGAGCAGCACAGGGGAGACAGGCCTTGGGAAACAGACTGCTGATCACCCAGCATGGCTGCTGGGGCCTCACCCTCAGGTAGTCGAAGATGTTACAGATGAATGTGACATAGCAGACCCAGCCCTGCAGGGAGCGGGCTCGGAGCTGCTCCCGGGTCTGGTACTCCTGCTGCAGTCGGTTGAGGAGGCCGCGCCGGAAGACACTCTGGCCTGCTTGCTTACTCTCTGCCTGTGAGTGAGGGATAGGCTGGTGGGCACAGTGGGAGCTATCAGCCAGCCCCCGCCCAAGTGCTCTTGGCTGTGGGACCACCTTTCCCCCTGGAAGGAAAGCTTTCCTGTGTTGGCCAGGCTGCTACCATTCCTGGAGTGCCTTCCCCAAAGCACTCTGCGGCCCCCGCTACCCCAACCTGGATGATAGCGTAGCACATGCGTCCTGCTTCCTTGCTGAACACGCAGTCCTGCAGGGAATGGTCCACAATCACATTGGCCACTTTTTCCAAGTCCACAGCACCTGGGTCTGTGGGCAGAGAGCAGGCCTGTGTGTTCTTACTGGGTGTTGAGTCTGACTCCTAGCTTATTCAGTTTCACCACCTGCTTCTAAAAAGGATGGGAGGAGGTTACAGAAGAGCACATCCAATACAGGTAGACCCTGACTTAACGACAGGACTCCATCCTGATTACAGTTCTGATGAGGACTGCACGCACTTGATTTTCATTAGTGCCCTTTATGTCACTACCTGATCTTTGTAGGAATCAGAAATGGGATAATACGTAACACTACGTAGTTGTAAGATGGGGGCTACTTGTATGTACAAACCTACCTACGGAGAGCACACACAGAAGAAAACAGTCAAACGGAGCTGCATTTTCCTAAAAAACCCAGAAGGGTTACAGAGTTTTCTAGACTAGTTTTCAGGACACGTTATCTTTTCCTGACACTGGACAGGAATGAATTCCATGTTCATGTCCCAAGTGACTTGTAAGCCGTGAAGTCTTCAGTAGTTCTACAGGAACAAATATCTTTACACGTCCACACATGGACCCCAGGCAGCAGCCATGGGTACCTCCCCCAGCGTTTGGCAAGTGATGGGCCTTGCTGTTAGCCAAGTCTGGCAGTTTATGTCTTCTCTGCCAAGCATAATACACTATCTGTCCCCAATCAGGCAGCTCTGCACATTTCAGAGAGCAGGCTGCAGTCTGACTGAATGCATGGCCTCACACTGCTTAAAGGGCCAGAAGGACATGTTCTCTGAGCTCTACTCCCTTTCCCTGGGACTTTTTGAAAAGATCTTTACAGTTTGAAGGGTATCTGATGCACACTCCCGAGTGCTGCCTGCCTTTAGCTTGTCTTTGGATTCTGGAGGTAGGGTCTTGACTCTTGTTTTCAATGTAGGAAGAGAGGCTGGTCAGGCCCCTGGCCCCTACGTTCCAGACCCTCCAGTCCTGGCCTGGCCCCTTCTCTGCAGCTCTTGACCCCTGCTTGGAGGGGCTCCCATGCTCACCTTTGAGTGCTGTCTTCAGCAGCTGCTGGGTCTCTGCATCAAAAGACTGGATTCTATACTCCTCTCTACTGGGCTCCCCCATGACCAGCAACCCCCGCGCAGATGGCACCTGGGGGACAGCAAAGTGAAGGGGGAGGCCTCGGTGCGCAGGCTCCCCGTGCTGCAGGACCTCGAACAAGTGCTTCCAGGCCAGCCACGGCGTTCAGAAGCTGGCTGGGTGCCCACCAAACCGGGCTTCTGGCAAACGGGACAAGGGCTAGGCACTTGCGGCTCAGTTTAAGAAAGCCCAGGCTTCAGGGATTACTGGAGTAAAGAGGGAATGCGCCTACCCTTCAGTGCCAGCGCGAGGCAGGGTTTATTTCCAGCTCATACCGCGCTCAGCTGGGAAGGTGGCCAGGGAGCTGAGACTTGGAGAGACTAGCCGGGCCCGATTCCAGATAAGGGGTGGGTTGGGGTTCGAAGCCCCTCTCCAACCCTCCGCCGGCTTCCCCGTGAGTTCTCCGGGCACCAAACTCCCTCCTCCGGACCTCAGGTGCGGGCCACGCAGGAGCGTGGGCGGGTGCAGGGGGCCCCTCTGCCGGCCCCAGGCGCAGAGCCCCGGCTCCCCGCATCGTCTTCCCGGGCCAGCACCGGCTAAACTGGCTCCCGAGGGGCCGAACCCCAACCTACCCAGGACCCCTAAGTCCTGAGCCCCATCCCGACGCCTTCCTCTTAGGGAGCAGTTTGCTGCCTCCACCGCGAGCAAAGCTTGGTCGGGACCCAGCTCGTCCTCGGAGCCTCCCTACTGTCTGGTCACAGTCGGGGCTTAGGGGTCTTTAGACAGTGACAGCTTCCTCCAGCCCCAAAAGCCCTCCCCGGCGTCGGAGCGCCTGCACCCACCTGCCGGGGCGGCGCCGCGCCCGCGTGCCCGAGGGCCGCTCAGCGGGCAT